GAAATGTGGTGCTGTTGATGGGCTACAGTCTTATTTTCTGCTTCAGTCAACAGTGCACATTTGTATTTCTAAATTGTGGAGCCCTTGTTATGTAAGGCAATTTTCTGCCTTCTTAAGAGCGGGATCTCCTGTGCATTAATAAGAGGCTAGGCTGAGCGGAGAGCTGAGGTGTTCATGCTCTAAACCACACAACCAGCAGCAGCAGCACAACTATTTAAACATGACATATAATTTATACATGTAAATGTTTCACTAGAAAATTGTGATTTTAAAACAGGTGGACATCCCAGATAATGGTCAGACGTGAGAATACACATACACTTGAAGTTTAAAATGCAAGAACACGAGTTTGCCAGAATTTGTCTGAGCACATATTCTGCACCACACAAACATTTTTAACTATACACTTTTCTTTTTCCACATTTATTTAATTACCTAATTAACTGTGTATATATTTTGGTGTGCCAGGTTCATTATCCTAACATGAGGATCTGACAGCTTTTAAAAACCTTCACCTGTGAGGGATTATTATTATTAGAAAAAATATCCATGTATTTTATTTAAAAATTTTAAACTAAACAGTCAGAGCACAAGCTATTTGGTTTTTAATAATACCTGAATCAGAATGACATGAATTCAGTGTCCTCACTGGTAGCTACAGAACTGCCCTGCACTTTATTCAAATTAAAGAAATCAATAAATATAGATTTGTGGCTTTTTCATAATAAATTCCTGATTAACATGCAGTGGTTTGACTTTGAAAATGTGATGAAATACTACACTTGAATTTAAAATTTAAAAAAACAAAACAAATAACAAATAATCTGTGCATGGTAGTTTTAGCAAGAAACCTGCTAAAAAACGTGCAAAATTATATCCCTATGAGTCACCTTCAGTCTTTTTACAAATCACAGACACTACTGTTGAGTTATTAGATATGTGACAGATAACAGACTCTTCCCTCAACATAAGTGTTGCCAGTTTCATTGACAAGCCACAGTATGAGCCATTGGGTCCACATTTGACCATGTCATTTTAATTTTGACTTAATACACTGTAGAAAGATGGCAGTCCTAAACTGAACAGACATGGAGCTGATCTGGAAAATCCATTAATCGATGTGCAAGGTTGATTTAAGACACATGTTAATATAATGGGAGAAATACTCACAGCTCATAAAAAAGAGACATTTGGAGCAAATTGGACAGTGGTGACTTTAACAGCGGTTGACATAAGTAAAAGCGCACTGCAGCGGAAAACAGTGACATGAGTGTCTGAAGGGGCCTCAGCTGGAGACAAAAGCAGCAGAGATGGGCCTGAGACTTGAGGAGGATGGTGAAGCGAATGTGTGTGTGTGTGTGTGTGTGTTGAGGAGGTGAGAAGAGATGGGGAGAGCAGGCAGCCTGGTCTCTGAAAGGCCGTTGTGGTTGGCAGCTGCTGACCCTGGTGACGATGGGTTTTCCTCAGAGGCTTCTAATGAAGGCTGATTGCCAAGGAATAGTGAAGGAACCAAGGGGTAGAGAGGAGAGCAGGGGGAGAGGACAGAGTGTAAGAGAGAGTGAGAACAGAGAAGGGGTGGAGAGAGAGAAAAGGATAGAGGAGAGGCGCAGGTAATTGCAGCACTTGTGGGTCTAAGGCCCTGTGGTCCTGTGATGTCAGGGTGCAGTGGGGAAGAAGAGAGATGTCCGTGGATGCTTTGGTGGTAAATTCTGGAGCACTGGGATAGGAGGCAGGTTGTAATTACCCCTACGAGTGTGTGGATGGAGAGTGGACAGGCCCAGTGTGGGGCTTTGACAAGGAGACGATCAATGGAGACGACTGAGAAGGGAAGCAGAGACAGATCCAGAGACAGACAGCAGGAGTCTGACGGAGGAGGAAGACAGGACGCCTCCATTTCTGCCAGGCCCCGAGAAAATCAGCCAGCCAGACACTGAGCCAAGGTCAGAGGCTATTAGTGAACACACAACATGCTGGTGACAAGACAGCCATGGCAAGAGTGGCAGAAAAATAGTGCAGACACAGCTGGAGAAAGACATACTGTAGGAGAAAAAAGGCAATTAAAAGCATCTATTTAGATCAGGGCCAGTGAGAGAGAGAGAGTTGTTGGGGCCCCACTGAATGGCGCAGCAGGGTCAGGAGGGTCCAGGCACAGACACTGGAATAAGAGAGTTGATACGCTGGCCTAAGCTTCCTGCTGCCATGGATCAGTATGTACTGCCTCTCTTCTCCGTGCCTGGGCTGATGTAACTCACTGGAGTGGCAAATTACACCAGACCTACAGCTGTAGCCCGACATCATGATTAATTTGATCAGTAATTTCTCCTGTTTTTCATTTTAATCGCCGCGACCATTCTGCTGTGGCAGGTCTTTCAGATCTAATTAAGATCAATTCCGGTGTAACAGACTTGGCGAGCGCCTATCCCCGCGTCAAATCCCTGAGCTCTCCGGGCGTGGCGAAAACCCACAGCTCTAATCAATCAACTTCCAGCAAAATCCAGCGGGCTGCTGCAATCAGCCCATTAACACACTTAAGCAAATTTCATAACACTCCCGCCTCCCACAAGTGCATTTGACATCTATTTGTGTGGTGGCTTGTTCAGACAGCCACAAGCTGCAGCTCACTGTACTCTACATGCTGGGGAGTGGAGAAAGTGTGGGCAAAGCAGGAAGGTAAATTCTTACTCCATTTAACCAAATTAGCTGCAGTAATCCAAGTTTAGACCACAGACTCAAGGGGACACAGTCTGTTGTGGTGTGATTTGTACTCTAACTGGGATATTAATGAGCCAAATAATGAATTTGGTTTCACAAATTAAAAACAGCAAACACAGAAAGCACTAGGGATGTAATGAATGCTTAGGATTTCCTCATTATGTGTTTATAAAGAATATCACACTCCTCCCATGAGAAGAGAATTACAATGGGACATTAGGTGAAACATAATGAATATTTGACTCTTTATAGCTCTGCTCTGTATTTCCAACAAATATTTGAATGGCTTGCTGATTCTGTGCATCTGAATAATGACATTAGGAAATAGGAGTGTTATTGTGTAATGCTGATTGTATTGCAGTAATTATGTATGGCTCGACTTTACTGCACAGACCAGTTCCTCTGGGTAAAGCATGAAAACACCAGAAATGTCCTTCCGTGTCTTTAATTAAAACACACAAAAGGCTAATCACTATGACAATGCACATGTGTTTGTGACTCTGCTCTGGGAGCTTGCCTGAATTAAAAACATCTGGAAATTAACCAGTGAGCTGAGACTGAAAATCCAATCACTGACCCAGGGGGATGGAGGCGGAGCTGCTTTTTAAATCCTCTTGCAGCGCTGAGTGGGTGCTGAGGCTGTGGCCTGTCCTTGGGTGAGCCCCTAGCTGGGTGATGCACTTTTGGACAACCCCAGCACCGACCCAGAGAAATTAAACCTTTTACGTCCCTTCGGCCCCTCCCACACACAAACATGTCCCATAATCCTATTTGATAAGGCAATATCTTAATGACACCTGATGCGGTCTCTTTGGCCCCTGTCAAGCGAGGTCCTTCCTCATAATCAGCCACGCTGCGTCTTTTAGAAGACAAGCTATATAAATCTAAGTGTCTCAGTTGTATCGATTCTGAGAGTTTGTTCTAAAATGATCTTGCTTCCGGTGTTTCACAGATTGTTGAAAATTTAACAAAGTACTGGTAGTAAACCAAAGAGTTATAAGTAGTAGAGTCTGATTGTGGGGTGTAACCTAGGACCTTTGTACTGTATGCTGCCTGATGCAAGCTTAATGTGTGAATCTGTATGTTGGTCAGTAGCCCTTGTATCCACAGTCTGACTGGACATTGTTTGGTGTGTTGCAGCAGCTAGTCTTTGGAGCCCATTAAATTCAGAGGCTGGTTTTTCTGCTGAGTTTCACTAGGCCGCAGAGAGGGCTCCAAGGGGGGAAACAAATAGCCCAACTCATCCTGGCCATAAAGAAGGTTGCGCCACAACCCAATAAGGGTCTGACGCTGATGAATGTGACCAGGGACAGAAAGGCGACCCTGGCCAGTCTCCACCAGAAATGAAACCACAGGGATATAAAATAGGTTATTATCGTCACACAGTGACAGCCAGACGGACAGAACAGCAGAGATGGATGGACGGACAAAGTGACTAAAAAGGAGGTTGAGCAGGAAGAGCAGCAAAGATTAAGGGACTGATTACAGCTGCAAGGCCTAAGGACAGATAACCTCAGAATCCCTCCGAATCAACTTTAGGAAGATGTGAATCATGGTTCTGACCTGGTTGTGAGGTTTGATGAGCTCAAGTGTGTCAAGGCTTCAGCATCAGATACATATTCTAACAGCTCCAAATAGACAGAGGAGCTGCTGCTTTCCATTCAAATATAACCACTTGATAAAGATCAAGTGCTGACAGAGGCTCAAATCATATGTACTGTTTAAACAAAGTGTTTTCTCAAGGTTGACCCGCCCAAATTCAACCCAATGACACCATCGGTGACACCAC